AAAAGGACTCAAGGCTGGCTGGCATGCAGGTGTAAGTGGGAAGGAATGAATGCAAACAAGGACTAGCGTAAAGTTTGGTGTCAGTCACTGAGATGAAGGTGTCGCCTTTTGATATGAGAACCTCAAGGCATGGAAATATTGACGTGGTTGTACAGAGGGGAGAGCAAGGAGCCATATTCTTGTTTCCATTATTGAAGAAGCTAAAAATCTCCAAAAGTGAAATATAAACCCATCTCTTTATGCTTATACTTGTAATCACTGCCTGCTAAGCTTTGTACACACTGGGTAAATCCTACTCATCCTTAAAGATTTCAGTCAGGAAACAGCATGACCCTGGAATGTTCTCTTTGAATTTTCTCTCCCTTTCATCGCCATCCAACCTCTCCATCCTCCCACAGGGAGAAAAGCTTTAGGAGCTTCCATAATATCACTTGCTTTGCTATCTAGTAGTTGGCATTGTCCTTGATATGAGTGAGAAAGATCATATGAAATTTAGATTCAGATTTGTGGATTCTAACAGCATTTATTTTATGCTGTTTGATTGAGTGTCTTTGAAATAGAAAATTAACACATCCAGACAGCATTTCCTGAAGGAGATTTTTTTTTAATTTAAATCAATTTTACAAGAAAATATCCAAATATATTTTAAGTGTCTTTGTTTCAATAGCTCCAAAAGGAGCTGTTGCAAAAATTAGTTTATCTAAGTATTGTTAGGTTCGAGCCTGTGAGTCGAAGTTCAGCTCAGCTCCTTCTCAGAGATAGCCATTGTATGGCATTGTGCTTGTGTTGTTTCTTTTCATGTTCAAAATCACATCAATGAAGGCAAAAAGCCTAAATTTGATGAGTGCTGGGCTATTTTGCCTAAATATGCCATTTAATTCAGTATATGCAAAAAGACATTATAAACTTGTCTTAAAGAGATGGATAGGAAATTTCCTCCTCATCATCTTAACATTGGGACTTCTCATATTTTACCCTTTTGTTTGGGATACCTGGATTCTGAGAGACTTAAAGTTCAAGAGTTAATTATAGGACAAATTCCCACAGCTTCATATGGCTTATATTGCTTGAGTGATTTGGCCCTATTAATATTTATTCATTCTGGCTTATTTGAAAGGTTCTACAAATAATAAACTTCTCAACATTAGTTTTCTACTTTCTTAAAATTATGAGTCTTTCCTTTGTCCTTTGTCTGGAACCATGATTTTCTGCATTTGTCTACTATAACCAGGACTATTGCTATTCATTTATCAGCAATGAAGCTTATGTTATGTGCACTTTAGGAGCTCCTACTAGGTGAAAAATACAGTGTTAATCTTATTAACTATTATATCCCTTATAATAGCACAATGATTCTCCAAAATTTTTCCATATTTTCTCTAAAAATGTTTGTTGAATAAATGAGAGTGAAATAAACATTGAATTAAGTTTTATACTTTTTCTAGTTATTATTCATTGGCATGTATAATTTGAAATGAAAATCAAATATATATGGAATTACATGTATACATTTATATAAACACTTATTTTTTAAACTTATGATTATATATATCTCCACAAAATTCCATTAAATGCATATGGCTTTCTTACTCATTCTACTAAAATGTACATGTCTGCATCATGGAGTCATTGTAAGTACTAGAGAAATATATGTTAGTTACCTAACAAAATAGCTAGAAATACTTGTCATATCTGTCAGTATGGCCATTATGAAAGAAACAAAAAATAACACGTATGGCTAAGGATCTGCAGAAGTTGGAATCTTTGTGCATTGTTGATGAAAAAGTAAAAGGGTGTGTCCACTACTGAAAAAAGTAAGGAGATTCTCCAAATACTAAAAGTTGAGCACTATATGATCAGCAATTCCTGTTCTGGGTACTTATCCAAAATAATTGCAGTCAATATCTCAAAAAGATATCTGCACTAGCATGTTCATTGCAGCATTACTCACAATAACTAAGCTATAAAGGGAAACTAAAAGCAAATTCACAGATGAATGGAAAAAGAAACTGTGGCATATGCATACAATGGAATATTAAAAAAAAGAAGGAAATTCTGTCACATGCTACAACGTGGAAGAAACGTAGGGACATTATGCTACGTGCAATAGACCAGTCACAGAAGAAAAAGTACTGTGTGATCCTAGTTATATGAGGTATTTTAAGTAATCAAACTCAATTAAGCAGAAAGTGGAGTGGTGAATGCCAGGGACAGAGGGAGGGCGCAATGGGAGTTGCAGTTCAGGAAGTGGAAGTTTCAGCCGTGCAAGCTGCACAGGTCCTAGAGATCAGTTGTACATTGTGCTTATAGTTAACAATCCTGTTCCGTACGGGTGAAAATACGAGAGGGCAGATCTCATTTTTTTAAACCACAATTTAAAAAGAAGAAAATCCAAGTGTATCTGCTGTGCCTGTAGCAGATAGATGGCAGACAGTTAAATAAACTTTTGATAAACGTCAAAAAAATCCTAGGATTTTGGGCATTTCTATGACCTATTTTTCTGACATTTCTTCTCCATTAGAAGAAACAGCCCTTCACTGATTATTTTGCTCTGTTGAGACCGAACACCTGGTCATGGGCACCAAGTGATTATGCTACTTCCAATGACCATTATGTTGTAAAAACAAAAATATAACTGAATATTCAGCAGCAACGTTCTACAATTAAGGAAATACAGTATGTGTGACAGCAGACCAGAGCAGATCCAGAAAAACAAGTAAATGTCTTTGCATGTGGCTAAGACTTTTCTGGAACCTACCAATGTTTTAAAATAAATCTTAGTCAATCTCCATCTTCAGACTTAGAGTGGAATTCCCAGCTGAAAGCAGGAAAAACATCCTCAAGGCCAATTCATATAAGAGATGTACAGTATTCTTGCAGCAGCAGAAAGTAAGCATTGTTAAAGTCCCATTCAAGGGTGTCCCTGAAAGATGGTGAAACAACTCCTTCACAAAGAGTAGAATGTCAAGCAGTGCATCTGGATAATTCCTCTTTATAGGGAAAAATGTCCTGTTTTACAGATATTCAGATTTCATCGGTGGTGTGGTTAGTGGATGGATTGACTGATCAAAGACTTGGGAAGAGTCAGAGGGAAGATTAAATACAAGGTCTGAGGTAGAATTATGTGGATAAGCCTCTTGGAATTTTCATAGAGTATAAAGCTATTCATATCCCATGGGAATTTCCTCCAGAAATCAAATGCAACAGACAATGTGTTCTGGATGAGCAGTCCTATGGATGCCAATGTCTTTTTCCAGATGCTCCAGGATTTTATCATGAACCTTTATGAACAGAGGGGCAAAGGAGAATGGTATGGAAACTATACATGAATATACAGTATGGACTTCGCCTCACTAAGGCTCATCTGGCTACTCCAGCTGTTAAATGTTTTATCTGTTAGTAGAGGATATCTTCCCAACCTTCTCCTTCCCACTATAGCACCAATCCCTAGGATTCTAGCCAGTCAGAGGTAGAAGATTGCATTGATCACTTCCATTCTAGAGGAAAGAAAATTTTCTTTCACAGATGTAAGTTATAATTTCCAAATAACGAATTTCCCCCAGCCCCTGCCCACCCCATCTCCCTGTAGTATTTCTGACAGCATCACAAACTGTGGACATAAAATCTTAATAAAAGTCATGATATTGGTATTAACATTGTATATGACCAGGAAATGTATTTACAGCTGAGGAAATGCAGCAAAATCTAATATTCATGAAATTTGCTTATTTTACCGAGTTTCCCACTAGGTAATGAAAGCTTTTCAGGGTTTTAGCTGGGAGATAATACCTTATGTATTTCAGGTGCTGGCTTAAAGGATGCAGTGTATGCTTTAAATCATGGCCTGATGTAAGACGCCTTCTGTATTTCAGTTTGAATGCATGGGTTAAGATTTCAAAGGACTGAAAGTGGGAATGCGTCCTCTAACAAGTATGCTTCCTAATTTGCCTGAGATAAGTTTGTTTTTTATTACTACAACTTGGAGTCCAACAGTTTGGAGACTGCATTTCTCAAGAGAGCAAGGATTCCACCCAGGCATATAGACATAATTTTCTTAGCTTGGAAGCTGTCTTGAATATTTTGGGCTCCTCTGCTTCATAATTCAATTAGAGAAATCATTACTCTCTGAGCTGTGGTAATTTATCCAAAATACCAAAGATGAACTAGGTTGTTGACATATGATAAGTGTAGGCAAAATTATGTCTAGTATCCAGCAGATTGCTGGGGCACATCACAATACTCTGATCTCCAATAGTAAAGGTCAATGAAGCGCTATGACAAATCATTCAGACAAGATATATTAGCACTTTGATTTGAAGTAGATAAAGATTTGGGTCATCCTACCAAGTAAAGAATCCTCACCAGAGGAGATGCTGCCCAGTATAAGGGACACACGAAATCTTTATGAACAAAATAAGCAAAAGCATTAAATTCAGCCTCTTGAGCATCTCTAAGTTCTGAGAATGTAAGATCTGTACAAAAATACTCTGGCTGGTGGGATTTGGTTTCTGCCTTATTAGGGATGAGAGTTTCCTAGAATGAATAGTTTTGTGAATGACTGCTAAGAGAAGACTTTTTTTTTTTAATTCAAGTATATACTGCAGTTACTCTAACTAATACAGTTGGTATCACCCAGGAATTTTTTTGCCAGCTGGCTTCTGATGAAATTCAGGCAAAGGAAGAACCCTGTAAATAATCAGAGAGCAGAAAAGGAGAAATCAGGTGAGCAGTGGCTACTGAGCATTGTATATAATGGGGTGTCCAGTCTTAGGACACAAATAGGTGCCTGTACTTAGGTAATGCTCAGTGCCAGGGATGGCAGCCCATCTCTCATTCCATCTTAGCCATTTGCTGCATTCTAATTACAGAAAATAAACTGAGCATAGAGCAAACATAAACAGCTCTTCTCAAAACAATAAAATTGTAAAAGTCAAAACACATCAACATGAATCACCTTTTACAAATGTTAACATTTAGCAAATACAATTTCAATTTTCACAAAAAAATGTGTAGAATTTATTTGCATTTTCAGTAATGTACATATTCAAGAAGAAATACTTGTGTTACCACTATACAATTATTTTCAAATTGGAAAACATTTTCAATATACCATATTGAAATAAATAAGAATTTCAAAAATTTCGGTAAGACAATGGATGTTATTTATTTCTTCAACTATATCAAGTACTAAAATTAAAACTTTAGTTAGACATGTCATTAAGTTTATAAGGGGAAAAGAAAGTGCAATCTTTAATCTATTTATTAAATTAATCAAAACTGATTTGAATATGAACATTTGTCTTTAATTAGTGCTTTAATAAAAATATACTATAGCATATGCTTGATTGAGAGGTCTACTAACATCTTATATCCTTGGCATAACAATTAATTGATGAATTTAAATTTGTAGAGGATAGAGACTGAAAACCAATATAAAGATTTTACATTCAAAGTAAATATTTGTTTTTTGACAGAAAACAAAGCCTTGATTATAAATAATGATTATGGATTTTGAGCATTAATGTATTTAAATATAATGAATTGATATTTGACTTTAAGATTATCAATTGTATTTTTAACATTTCATAAATCTTTAAAACTTTTTTTCTATATTTATTGTTTTCTCTAAAAATCATCTATTCACCTTTAACATTCTGCTGACATTTTCTGTCCCCGAGAAAAAGCAAGGACTCAGTCAGTCTCTTTTGTTTGAAGGCAGTGCCCAGACTCTTGCACTCAAGGACACACAAGAATACTTGCTGACTTAAGGCAGGAATGTAGGTGTGATTATCTATGTTTTCAATGAAAATCTGTAGACCTTTCCTGGCGTGATGAACCGTCACCGTTAGTTCAATTCATGCTCTGACCCCAGGAACACTGGGAAGTCAAAAGGTCTTATTTTTATGACAAATGAAATCATTACCCTTCTTATTAACACACTAGCCTCCTATGATGGTCTCCTAATTTATATGTTCTAGGGGAACTTGTAAATTTTAGTCTTCTGTCTTCTCTGAATCTATCAGCCTCAGTTTCTACTTGTATGTTTCCCAGGATTCACCAAATTGTCTTTCAGCATATTAGTTAAGGTTAAAAATAGAGAAAAATGTATAATATGAATAGAATATACATAAAATTACTAGTGTGTCCTTATCAGGAAAGTTTGAAAAAGAGGGTAAAGCCAGCTGGGAGAAGACAAAGGATGAATAGGACATGCTAACTAATTAATGATATTATTGAATTAAAAACTTTATCTCTGGTATAAGGAGGTAGAGGAATGAGAATTTTGAAAACAGGATGGAGATGATATGCTTTCATTAAGGTTACTGTAGCTAGAAAGAACAGAATTGCCCATTGAAGCCTTTACCACACTTAGAAAGATCTATTCTCTCTTTTTCTTCTTTCCTGTTTTAACAAATTGTCTGTAAGAAAACAAGCAACATTTTGTGACCAAAAATATAGCAGTTGCCACACAGGCCAGCAGGAACCCAATCACATCCAGAGAGTGGTACTGGTACCAGGTGAGGTTGTGGGCGGCTGGCCGCAGGTGCTTGGCTCCTTTGTGGCGCATGACAAACTCGATCCAGAAGACTGCTCGGTCCAGGGGCTTCACTGGCTGATCATGGTGAATCCTTGATAACCTCATAGCATTCTCTTTATAACTGGTAGGCAAAAACATAGAAATTAGAGAGTTTTTGTTTTCATTAAAGGTAAGTATGGGATACATGTTGCATGTTATGCAATCCATTAGGTATGTTGAGAAAAAAATTTAACTCTTGCTGTGACATGAATTTTGCTGGTTGCATAGCATTTTAAGAGTGGTGAAGGGAGGGTGTGGAAGAATTACATTCCTAACAGAATGTGGTGAAGTGCAAACATATAAAAAATGTAATAAGCCAATTGTAAATGTATAGCCTCATTTTTCCAAAAAAGAATTTTGATATTGTGTGAAGTATAGTTGCCAGAATTTTTCCAAGACCAAGATTGTGAAAAACTCTATACTGAGAGAAAATATCCATTCAAAAGTCCACAAGCATGGTCTTCAATGTCTGGTTAGTTAATGATGACAGACATAGGAGACTGAGAGTCAATATTAGTGAGCCATTTTTGCAGTTTCTGAGATCTTGCACTGTGATAATTTCTCCACTGCATACACTCGGGTCTTTGTGATGGAAAAGACCATGTCCATATTGGCAGTGTCAAGACTGGATGAAGATACTGGAGTAATTTTAGAAATGACAAGGATGCAGATTTTGAGTTTTTAAGGTAAAAAGAAATATCTCACTAGAATTAAAGCCCATAATCAATGTGGCATCACAGCAACAACACCTAACAACTCTAATGGTCTCTAAAGCAACAATGGATATAGACATGTATTCAAAAAGCTAGTTATGCCTTCACTTGAGATTTCCTGGTGGCTGAGCCAAAATGAGTATGCTTCCCTTTGGTTTTGTGAAATAAAGTTCCAACCTGGAGACATGAAGATGACATAAGGTAAGTGGTTTGTGAAGAGATGTCCTTGTGCAAGTTGGACATTGTTGGGATTGGAGAAGAAATGAGATCATCATTCATCAGTGAACATGGTACACAAGGTCCAGCAGAAAGAGGTAATTTACTTGTGCTCTTTTTTGTGTGCAGTGAGAAAGAATAGTCATACTCTCTTTCAATTGGTTTGAAATACTGAAGTATAGGTAGGGCCAAAAGAGTAATTTCACAAGGTTCATCCTAATACATTTTAAGCAAACAACAATGGTGATAAGAGCCTACCTGTCCAAATCACATTTTTGTTCAAGGTTTTCTCTAGATAGAGATTTAAAATTTGAAACAAGCTAACACTTGATAGGTACGTCTGCACATGTGAATCCAAATAAAAATAAAGTATAATTCCTACAAATGAGATAGGATAAAAAAGACAATGCTCATATTTAAAATGATGATGTAATATTTTACTATATGCTATTGTTTTATTACTGTTATCTTAAAATATCATGAGTACTTGAAATTACTATGATTTATGTATTTAGATGTAATATTTGTGTTCCTTAACTCCCATAAAGAATAAGAAAACAAAATATAAGTACATTGTATATATATACTCTACACTAAACACATTTGTTTCCAGATAATTTCAAACTTAGGTTTAGGGTTAATGTTAAAGTATTTTAAAATAAATAATTTTAGGTATTATCTTGGAAAATTCTAAGAGTATAATTTTTTGCATCAATAGTTTTCAAGTTAACAATAAAATTTAGTGAGCATTCTAGAATGAAGTAGAATTTTAAAAATTTACAGAATTTACCTACTCTGACATTTAGTAAAAATGAACCAAATTATCAGCAATTAACAACTTGGGAATAGCCTAATAGGTTAGATACCAACATCATCACTTATGAAAAATGAAAGATTGTAGTAAGCCTTGCTGAAGTTCCTAACCCCTCCTTCCAGCTCAAGATGATATCTATAATATTCTGAAAATTATGATTTGAACTTGCATCTTAAAGACAATCTTTTGATTAGAATGTGGGTGGGAGGAGAAAATGGACCACCAGGGCTGGCTGATTTTTTTAGGATGCATTCAAGGAAAATATTGAATGTCTTCCCTTTTGGAAATGAATATATTGACCACTTTGTCTAGAAAGCATTGCTACTAGGGCTTTGAACAGATGGTTTTACACAGACCAGTTTCACTTTCTCCCCCAGCACCTGAATATCAGGTTTCAGTAATACAACTAGACTATTACAACTATCTTTCAAGTTTTGCATTTGAATAAAAATAATTGAGTCTGACATAACCTGGAAACTAATTTAACTGTAAGGCATCTATACAAATTCAGAACAGATACTGAAAACAAGATGAAAAACATGCAGTGTTAACAACTTACACAATATTGGGGAGAAAAACATAAAAATGACAGAATGCAATTAGGCATAATTCATAATTCCAAAGAAGAGGAGAGTTTAAGTACAGTAAGAATGTGAGAGCTATGAATAAGAGATCAAAAATCAGATTATGAAACAAGAAGAGGTAATAAAAGATACAGGTGAGGTGACGAAATAAATTGTTACAATAGCACTTTCAAGGTTTAATTAAGGAAATTACAAATAGCAAGTAATGCTCATTATGAAAAAGTTAATTTATTAATTTATGAACTATTTGAGGAAAATCAGTGAATTGAGAAAAGCAAAAAATCATTAGAACAATTAGAAAATAAAAGAGGAAGGAAACAAAATAAAATAAACACAAAGAACATTAAAATCTGATATCCCTGAAGAGATTAAAAAATGGAACTAAAAGTCTAATAAATGACAAACAAAAATTAATTTATGAAAAGAAAAATTGAATAATTTTCATCCTAGATTAACAGTGTTGAAAGGATACACTATAATTCCAAGAAAATGTAGAAAATAAAGTATAAGTATATAAGTATATACCATAATTAAGTTTCTGAATTAAAAAAAAGACTATTTCCAGTTCTTGAAAAACTCTTAAAAAGTAACACTGATCAGAAAAGTCCTCAAAATCTTACAGCAACAGTTAAAGCTAGTCATATTATACAGTTCTGAGGAAAGAAAATGAGAACTAAGTATGTTATATTCAGATAGGTGTCATTCTCCTATCAAGGCAATGAGCAAATGTTTCTAACCATGATCTCAGGAATTCAGTGTCCGTGAGACTTTACTGCAAGAAAATTTCATGTGATATGTTTCAGTTAAGAATGAATCCAAAATAACTTGAAACAAAAAATCTGATTCAATTGTGAACATTGATTCCCTTAAAATATAAAGAATAAGTAGATGTGAGAAACGTTCTGCCATAAATATTGACAAATTAAATATTTAAGTAATACATATTAGAGATGAGATTACTTCCAACTTCAGCTATTAGAGGCTAAAATTAAAACACATAGTTAAAAATATATAAATTCTTAGCCTTAAGAAGGGGGCATAACTCAATGGCGGGTTCAATTCCCAGTACCTTCATTAAAAAATAAATAGATAAATAAACCTAATTACCTATCCCCAACATAAATAAATAAATAAATAAATAAATAAATAATAAATTCTTAACCTTGATGAGATCTGTCAGAGAAAAAACTCATAATCATATGTATCTAAGGTTCATATAATTTATATAGTTTATAAATTTACTTTATCTATAGCCTAATCTGATAAAATTTTAAAATTTGTTAAATATCTATATATAGCATCAATGTATATTTATAAAATTATTAACTACTCCAATCTCTCCTCCCTGTATATCTGCATATATTGATTAAAGATAAACACTCAGCATTAACAATTATTATTTCTGAATGATTAATATTGGGTAAATTACCACATCTATTTTTGTATTTACTGAATAGTTATAATACTTAGCCAAACATAGATTTTTTTTAGAAAATAAGCAAATTATCCAGAAAAATATCTGAGAATTTATGTGATCATTAACATTATTTATCTTTAAAAAGTTAATCAAATATTTGAAATCTTAGTGTTCTTTTTCTCAATATTAGCCAATCACTTCAGCAATGTGGGAAGTGAAATAATAAAATGGTTTTTATATGGTCATGTTATGGCTGTTGTTTGAAAATAAACCAATTAATAATGCATGAAACATTGGACATTTTTGAGCACGATGGGTAACATAATGCTAAGCCTTTAAAAGCAGAAGTACTTACGAAGGTTCATTAATGACTGTTGTCAAGGCGCTGAGCAAATCTGCACTTGTCATTGTGTTTATGTTCACCTCCACAGCCGCTCCTTTGGCCTTCATGTGAGCAATGTTATCAGGCTGATCAGCAAACATGGGTACCCCCACCATTGGCACCCCGTGGTAGATAGCTTCATAGATTCCATTGGTTCCACCATGAGTGATAAAAGCTCTTGCTTTGGGATGACCTAGATTGGAGATCCAGTGAGAAGTGGGTGAGAATTTCGTTATACATAATATACTAACATAATTTCAGAGAGAGATGGGGATAGCTACTGGATAACTTAATGAAGGAGGCAGTATTTTCTACAAAAGCTGAGCACATGGGGTATTGCTATATCAGAAAACCGTGATCCCTGAAAAAGGTGGAATTAACTCCCTCTGCGTTGGCTTTACTGAGGAGATAACATCTGAACTGAGATTGCAACTCGAGGAGTGATGAGACTCTGAAACTGAATATGCTTGTTTGCGAGCCAGAGGAAGCATGGATCTATACAATTAAGGCAAGTTATTGAATTATATCTGCTTTAAAACTAGAAGTAAGATGTGGAAATTTAAATATTTATTGAGTTCATTTGCTGTTAAACAGTTACTTAACCTGTCCATCATCCAACTGTACAGCCTTTTTCCCTTGGTCTTACCAAGAAGATCATTCTGTGGTATCCAATCATAGAGCCGCGTGTTGGCTCCTAATGTGGCTGGTTCCTTTCCTTTGTATCTCCATAAAACCTGTGGAATAATACTTCAGTTTTGTAAATAAAAACACAAAGCTAAGGCATTTTAAGGCTGTAGAGTTATTTAGAAATCACATAGCCCACCCTACTTTATGTAACTGTTGAGAGGAGTTCATGAAAGAGGTAGTTTGTGAACAATAAGAGAAGGTAGGACTATTTGCCTTTACCTCTTTTGAAAAGGCTTCTACTGACAGCCTATTAAGCATAGTATCACCATTTAAAATCTTTTGGAGGTGAGATTGTAGGTGAAGAAATAGAAAATGAACAGGGCTAGTTTAGACAGCATATGAAGATTAAAAACATTAAAACAAACATGAATACTATGTAAATTTTTCATGAGGCCTTCTTATGCCATATTTCAAATGGAATGTTTTCCAAAAGTATAATTAGCTTTAAATTGTATTGTCTGCTTTTTTGGTAATAGATTGTCTTTTCTTCCTCCTCTTTCTCCCCTCCTTTCTTCCTTTCTTCCTTCCTTTCTTCCTTCCTTCCTTCCTTCCTTCCTTCCTCCCTTCCTTTCTTCCTTCCTTCCTTCCTTCCTTCCTTTCTTTCTCTATTTCTTTCTTTCTTTCTTTCTTTCTTTCTTTCTTTCTTTCTTTCTTTCTTTCTTTCTTTCTTTCTTTCTGTCTCTTTCTCTCCTTCTTTTTAGTTTTTAAGGGAGGATGATATACAGAGTTGCTTATACTCTATTATATAATGAAGTACCTTGTTAGGATGTTAACCTTTTGTTACATGGTTTATTTTTTTTTCTTTGGGGGAACTCTGTATGACGAATTTCAGATTAAATACTAATAGGTGGCAAACTCTTTAGCAGAAAAGTTTAGAAATAAAAATTCAAAGTTTCAACATGGCTAATTAGTACACTTACTAGAGTTTTATGTACTTTAATATACAAATAAAGAGACCTAGGATATTTCATGAATAGGAGTATATAAGGAGTAGAAATTTAGAATTGTAATGACAACAAAATTAAAATTAAGTGTCATAAATTAGAAAAATATATTGTTTGACAATAACGTTAAGAGTTACTGTTTGATTGTTGAATATTCAATTTAGAGATATTAGTCTTCTACTCCTAAACCAACTACACTTTAATTGCATCTTAGTAAAACCTAGAGATGTAAAGTATATACTTGAGCATGAGTTCCTTCTACTCTACGTATCACCTCTCTTTTCCTGGACCTTGGAGCTAACACACTTGAAAATTTTGGGGAATAGTCAATGCAAGTCACAAGATTTCAAATAGTAAAAAGTTATTGGGATCATAACATTTTCATCTCTATTTCACTGAAAATAATGACTTCATAAAAAGATGCATTTTCATAGAAATATGAAGTCTCAGTAGGCAAATGGTAAAATGTGCCCAAAACACAACATTTTAATGTCCTGAGAAATTTCCACTTAAAGGGGTTCAGCTTTCATCTGGAAAGAGTACTATTAGCCACACTCTCTTCCCAGTTGGCAAAAGGGCTGCCCACTTGGACTGGAGTTTATACTAACCTTCTGTGGAATCTGGGCAAGGGCTGAGGCAATGAGATTGGCTTTTTCTTCCGTGAGATTTTTGACCATTGATCCCAGAGAAAATATCACAATACCATCTTCACCTGAACTTTGGACAAATTCTTCCATTTCCTGAAGAGATAAAATTCTCTCTATTATACAAGTATAAGATCACAGGGGAAACAAAAAGTTCTCTTACCCTTCAAAATAGGCAAACTCAAGAGAAGCGTCAGGGACATTGTTAGACTGGTTCTGTCTTCTGCCATATAGAACTATCTAGTCTCTTTAAGAGTGTATATGTTTCTGAAAACTATGACAAATAAATAAAGAGTGATTACAAATAAATATTTGGAACCAAACCATTATACAAAATGAATAGGTGATAAGAGGCAAATGTTGTGGTATATGGAAATATTACTCCCAAGGCTTAATTTTATGAACCAACAGAGTTGTTTGCAAACTCATAAAAATATTCCTTGGAAGGAAGCTCAAATAAAGGTTCTGCACTAGACCTTTAAAATTTTTAGTGTGCTGTTTATAGCCAGTAAATTATGAATAACTTGAACTAACTTTCTGTTAGGCATTCAGGATATTTTTCTCATGTTTATTTTCTCCCTGATTAATCAGACTAAAAAAAGCAGGGTTTTTTGTTTGTGTTTGTTTTTTGTTTTCTGGTTTTTTTAGTAAAGGGATAAATAAAATCGATTTTTAAAAGATGATAATTCAGTTAAACTCCTGGTATAATCATGATAACATTTATGAGAGAGTGCTTCTCTGCCTACCCATAAGAGTGCGACACTGACTGCATGTCTGTAATTTGAGCCTTAGCATGGAAGTAAAATATACTTTTGTCTACAAATAGAGTTCTCTTGATCATCACTTACAGTGGGCAAGTTGGGCACAGTAAAGTCTGGAATTGGGGTCTTTCACACAATCTATGTAAATACCACTCTCTAGAGATGTGTCATGCGTTATCTTTGTAATCATTTGTGGTCAGATGGAAATCACTGATGTTTCTCAATTAAAGGCTAGTAAAATTACTAGGGGAAGGAAGATGCCATAAATGAAAGTAGACTTCTATTTTTAGTTTAGTTTATGTTAGGAGAGTATCTCTGAAGTCCCAGGAATTGGTGTTTTATCATTTTGATTCATCTCCCTAAACAGATGGTGATTGAATAAAACACACACACACACACACACACACGAGGGCACAGACACACAGGTACATAAAGACTTACACACTTACCTGTTTGATTTGGATTCTTGATTTAACTCTCATTGCTCTTCTACTCTGTGAATGGCATAATCCAGTGATGGCATAATTCTTTCATCAGGGACATAAACCATGATTGGTGTTCATATTGCCCAAATGTCTAAGTTAATAAGTCGGCTTAGGATGGAATAATTTTCTCTCTTGTAAAGCATGCCTGAGTCATTTTTGTGTAACTGTCTATATGTGAAAAGTGGAGGTGGAAGGACAAACATAATAGTATGGCAAGGTATTATCTAGTGAGCCAGGGAATACATGTCTTTTTCTGTACCTTTATTTTAGATACTGGTTTATTATCTCCCACAATAACACTCATTACAGCTTGTTTGCAGCTATAACCTGGTTAGTATGAAAAGCATATTCAGAATCCTGAAGTGAAATTTTAGGCTTAAGATACCCATCTTACCCTAAACATATCAGGGCCTGTCCTGGGAACACCATTTAACCTGCTGTCTTCTACAGAGATTATGCTCCTTTACCTACAACTTAAGCAAATGAGGATCTGTCTCTTCACTCCCTATTGATAAAGATTCTTAAATACGATATTCTTACTGTGTTTACCTATTATTCTGTTTTGTTTCTCTATATTGTTTTCTTCCAATATTTCTGGCAGGCCATATTTATTCTTTGAGGACATTGGAATATGGCATACGGTTTTCTTTCTTAAAACATCCTGATATCATGGTCATAAAGAACCAATTCAACATTTGGGGTTCTAGTTTTATGATTTCTACCTACGTTGACGACTCTCAATTATTTCTAATGCTCTCTGCTGAGACTGAAACCTTGTATTACCCAGATGAATTCTAGAAACCTCCACCTGAAAATTCCTTTAACTTCTTTAAGTAAATTTGAAATTTAACTCATATTGTCATCTCAAAAAAGTTTTTTCCACTAATTGTTTCCTAGCTCAGTAAAGGTCACTGCTATCCAAGAAGCCCCATCTGATTCCATGTCTTCCATAACACTTAACTTCTTACTGACCAAAGTTTGTCAGCAAGAATCTTCCCAAGAGTCCTCAGGAAAGCATCTTTATCATTCAAACAATTGTAGTGAATGTCTCTATTCATAACTCCATCATGCTTTTTAGGACATCTCTGCAGCAGTCTCCCTAGTGATTTCCAAGACTCACATTTCCTGTCCCTTCATTCTTCTCCTTAAATATCAAGGTCAAGTCCAAAAAAAAAAAAAAGTAATATCACTCCTAGGAGACCCCTGTGATTTTTGAAAATAGATTTGGAGTAGCAAACTGAAGATAACCAGCAGCGTATCTCTGTTATTAATCCTGCAAACTTTAAAGGCAAATCAGGCTTTTATTATAAGGTACCACAAAGCCCTCCACCATAATAGACCTACCTTAGGTAACGGTTTGGCAGGTTTACAATGCAGTCCTCCTACAAACTCAAAATTAGGTAAGTATGGACGAGGAAATTCAAAATCCCAGTATGTTCGGATTAGCCAAATTTCTGCTTTCCCCATAGTCTCACACAATGTAGTGGGTCTTCCTGGAGAAAATGAAGAAAGTTGGCTGGGGGTTATTAGTGTATATATATGTTTGTTGTGGAAAAATTATACCAGTGATTTTTCCGATGTGCTATTAAGGAAAAAAATAAATCTAGGTTCTGTAGATGACTTATCACACCTAGATGTTAAAAGAAAGGGGAGTTTAAATAAGGAAGGAAGAAGGAAGAAAGGAAGGAAGAGAGAGAATGGGTAGTAAAAGAACAGTAATGTGTAAAATAAAAATAAATTCAATAAAATCTAATAAAAATAGTGGTACAAAATGAATTTAATGAAAAATTTAACCACAACTCCAAGTACTGATGAGTTTAATATCAATTGTTTCTTTCCAATTAAATGGCACATGACAGATTAGCCCCGTCATATGAATACCAAATCAACTCTCAATATTTTTCTTTTTTCCAGTCAGGACTATATTTCTCCCTTCTAGTTTATTATACATTCTGAATCTCACCAGTATCAGTTTACCTTATCTTCCTGAGTCAGATCCCTTCAATTCAATTGATTTGCCATTATTTTCTCAGCAGGAATTCCCTGAATACTTTATACCCAATACAGCCCCCTTTGGAATTTGAAGTATACACGTATGCATTATCAATATCACACACTTATTTTAGTGTTACCTTTAAAAGATGTTTTTTGAAAGGGACGGACTCTAAGTATTCATTTTAGGAGACTGTGGAGAAGAAGTATTACTTGCAAATGACCAAGTCAGTCATTTTTATGCACAGAAAACATGTTTTGCAACTAAGTAAAGAGAAATGCAGATGAGATTTCTCCTTTTAAGGATTATATTCAAATTGATGATCACATATATCCCAGATTCGATAGCCTTTTTTTAAGAATCATTACTACTTTGTAGTGTTTGAACCTATTAGTCTGAGGTTATGGAGTCAATGCTTTAGTGTGATAATAAAGAAACATTATCCAAGGATACTCACTTGAAATTGCCAGAGATTGGATGAGAACACTAACTCACAGTTTCCCTACCAATATGTCTGTGTTCTTTGGATGTCTTGCTCCATGTATATGACATCCTCCTGCCTTGATTACTGACTCCTTAGGTGGAATTATTTTGCATAACCTGTAGACCACATTTTAAGAAAGACTTAAAGTATTCACTAAAATTATGTGAATGTATCAAGTTATCCACAGTATCAAGTAGAAAGCCAATTAAATGTGAAGAGAATGAAATTGAGCAAAACTATACAAGTTGTTAAATAATTTTGTAAGACATTTCAAATGTTATACTGAAGACTTATAAAACAGAAAATAGGGAATTAAAATTTACCACCAATCTTTTTCCTATAGTTATATCATTACACAAAATGAACTATGAACACAGCGGAGATTATATAAATAACATAAAATGGATAAATGACTATTAAATTTGATTTGCCATGTAAATATTCTTATTGCTTGAATCTATTATTCCAATCCTACATGATGAGTCTACAGAGATACCTTTTAATTTCGAAGAATTCTTAGAGGTAGCCTGAATTTATGGCAAAATGCTTTAATGTAGGTGAGAGCGAATTTCAGTGGAGGACAGTTACCAATCTCCCAGTAGTAAGTCATGCTGGCTTTAGATATCAATCTGTAGATAACTTTTCTAGGCTCCCTAGATTTTTCATTTCTTTTAAAGGCATGTGAGAAAAATAATTTCTGTATCACTTTTTAAAAATCAACACTTTACTTTTTTAGAGCAATTTTTGGATCACAACAAAATTGAGGAGCAAGTGGAGATACTTCTCATATACCCTTGTCTTCACGCATGCATAGACTCCACCATTATCAACACCCCTGAACAGAGCGGTATGTTTGTTACAACTGATGAACATACCTTGAGACATTATAATCACCCAAAGTCCATAGTTTACGTTATAATTAGCTCCTGATGTAAATTCTGTGGGTTTGGACAAAGAATAAAGATATGTATCCATCATGATAGAGTAGTTTCACTGCCCGAGAATTCTTCCGTGCTCTGCCTGTTAATCCCCCACTCCTATCTCACCCCTGGCAACCATAGATTTTTTTTGTCTCTGTAGTTTTGCCTTTTCCAGAATGTCATATAATTTGAATCATACCTTTTCAAATTGGATTCTTTCACTTAGTAATATGCATTTAAGTTTCCTCCATGGTTCCATGTCTTTTCATAGCTTGATAACTTTTTTGGTGTGTGCTGAATAATATTCTATCATCTGGATCTACCACAGTTTATCCATTCACCCACTGAAGGGCATCTTGGTTGCTTCCAAGTAGTGGTAATTATGAATAAAGCATCTATAACATCTGTGTACGAGTTTCTGTGTGAACATAAGTTTTTCAGCTTCTTTGGGTAAATTTCAAGAAGTGTGATACTGTGGTAAGTTTATGCTTGCTTTTACAAGAAACCACAAAGTGTCTCCCAAAGTGGCTGTCCCACTATTAATAAGGAGAGTTCCTGTTCCACAACTTGCCACCGTTTGATGTTGCCAGTGGTCTGCATTTTGGCCATTCTAATAGATATGTACTGGTGTCTCATTGCATGTTTCTTTTTAATTGAAGTATAGTGAATTACAATATGTCAGTCTCTGGTGTACAGCACAATGTCCCAGTCATATGTATATATACATACATTTGTTTTCATATTTTTTCCATTAAAGGTTATTACAAGATATTGAACATAGTTCCCTGTGCTATATGAAACTTTTAAAATCTTTTATATATAGTGGCCAAGATTTGTAAGTCTCAAAACCAAGTTTATCCCCTCCCACACCCTTTCCCCAGTGACCATAATATTGTTCAGTAAGTCTGCAAGTCTGTTTCTGTTTTGTAGATAAGTTCATTGTGTCCTTTTTGTTTAGATTCCACATGTTTTAATTCGCATTTTCCTCATGACAGATCACTTGGAGCATCTTTTTACATGCTTATTTGCTGATTTGCCGACTATGTATCTTCTTTGTGCCATATCTGTTAATGTCTTTGGTCCACTTTCTAATGAGTTTCATGATTTCTTCTCTTTGAGTTTTAGTGTTTTTAAAAACATTTTGGATGACAGTTGTCTATCAGATATATCTTTTGTAAATATTGTCTCCCAGGTGTGTCTTGTCGTTTCATTCTCTTGACAGTCTTTCACAGAACAGAATACTTTCTGTATATTGTTGGATTCAATTTTCGAACATTTCATTGAGAACTTGTACATCTATGTTTTTGAGGAATATTTATCTATAGCTTTCTTCCCTGGCAGTGTCTTTGTCTGGTTTTGGCCTTTGGGTACTGTTATCCTCATGGAATGAGTTAGAAATTATTCCCTCTGCTTCTATCCTCTAAAAATAGCTATAAAGTATTAGTATAATTTCATCTTTGAATTCATTTCTGTTACAGATTTTTTTTTAATCTCTTCTTCTTTTTTGGTTTTTCTTAGGATTTGCATATCTCTGCTTCCACAGTCCATCTTTTCTTACATGATGTCTACTTTATCGATTAGAGCCTTTAGTATATTAATCAGAATTGTCTTAAATCCTTGTCTTGGTAATTACAATATTCTTGCTGACTCTGGCTCTGATGATTGTTCTGTCTATTCAAAATATATTTTTGTCTTTTGGTATGTCTTGTAATTTTTTCTTGATAGCCAGACATGACGTATTGCTTAAAAATTATTGTAAATAGGCCTTTTAATGTGGGGATTAGTTGTTGAGGGGGAGGCACTCTCTAGTCCTAAGATTGATCTCAGTGTTTTACTGAGTCTGTGCCTCTAGACTGTGAACTTCACAACTATTTCTAATTTTTCCCCCCATTTTACATGGGGAAAGAGGGTCTGGAGATGGGTATATTCCTTTCCCCATGTGGTAATCTGGGGGGCCTGGAGTTGTATTTTTCTTTCTCCAGATCAGTTAGGCTCTGATAATACCCCAGCACATTATGCTCTGATTAACTGGTTTCCCCTGACAGCACACCTTGCTAAGAAGAACAGAATACTCTGGCTTATTTAAAAATGATTCCTTTCCCCCTCCTCTAACTGAAAGCAAAGGATTTTTCTTTGATATTTATTGCACAAAAATTGTTTGAGCTCCTGGAAGTAAATCTTACAATACTGTGGGGACCCCGCTGTGACTGGGTCCCACTGGATTTTTCTAACTTCAGATTTGTCCACACTGAACCTCCAGTAATTCATCAATTACAGTTCAGATGTTCCTACTCAGACACTGGTTCCTGAGATTATTTCCACTAGAATCTCTGCTTTTGAGTATCTGTTCAGATAAGCTGAGACTCTCTGTATATTTCCAAAGAATATACAGATATATCAGTAGAATGAATGTGAGAGTTTGATCATTATGATGGATACAAAAGAATATGAAACAGCAACCACAATTTCTGTGCATGAATAAAAGAAAATATAATTAAAAGTATACTTTGGCTTACAATTTTTGAATAACTGTCAGGCTTGTGTAAACTACTTATGATTAGAATGATAAAGTCTTATTGAAGCTCATTACAGAAAAACCGAGCTATCATGTTCATTGACAGGAAAATCAAAATTTATAAAGGTGCCCATTCTCTCCAGATAAATCCACAGACTCTTTATAATTCCTTTTAAAATATCAAAATCCCAAGTTTCATGAAACAACAATTTTTATAGAATTTTAAATTTAATTTTAAAATCTACACAGAAGAGCAAAGAGCTAAGAATAATCAAGGTACACTAAAAGAGATACAAGGGGAGAGGATATTATCCTTCCAGATACTAAGAACCAGTTTTTTGCAAGATAGTCAAAAAACCTGCCCCTGATGTATCCCTACCTCAACAACAGTTCAGTATTTGTCCATGGACAATGTGCGTTTGTGCAAGCCTTGGGCTGCAGGTAGGAGACTGTGAAATCTGTGTGCAGTCCAAGACAGAGGAAAGACCTTTTGAGAAGGCAGGCTTGCAACCAGATGAGTGACTTGCAGAGTGTGTTTCTGGCTGCAGACTTGGGAAAAACTTCTGTACCCTGAGAACTCA